TTTTTGCTTTTATTTTGTTCAACACTTTTGTCTCTTACCTCTGGTGGGGGAAAACAATCGTGTGAATCTGTTTGCAACCTGTAGCTGCAAGTGTCTAGCACTTGACAGAACCTTTAAGGTGCAGAATATCTCTGAGTCTCTTACCACTGGTGGGGGAAAACTACAGAGTAGTCTGGCCAATTGTTCCGCAAGGAATCAAAGGCTCGAATGACCAAAATGTAAGGGATTCCTGTAATAAGGAAAACAACCTTCACGTTTGAGTTCTGTATAAAAACTGATTTTATTTCACTAAGTCTTCGCTTACGTAACTAACATGAAAATCTTATGATATACTTATCTATGGTCTACGCAGAGACCACATCTGTTTGCCTGAGCGGGAACCTTATCAACGGCCTCCCGCAAGGCGACCCTTTGTACAGTGTGAGAACTATATTTATGGTCAGGCTCAAGTGGCCTGTACTTAAGATTACAATTGTTCGGCACTGCACCCTTGTAGGTTTAAAATAACAGATCATTATTTACGGCTCTAGATAGATTTACATATTGACATTGACAGAGCTCGTAAACTCTTAAATTTATGACAATTAGTGTTCTTCTTGAACAAGTATGCAACTTTATTAAATTTATTACTTACATTTGAATTATACATTTATTTTTAGTTTCTTTAAAAATATTTATTGTTATTCTTCAATGGTCTCCTTCAAATAAAAAATCTAAGTCAAACTGAATGTGAGAGGAAGTAAGTTTACCTTTAAGTATAAATATTCACAACTGGCTTAGCAAGTAATAAAATAAAATAAATATATTTTTCTTAGCTCTTTTCCTATTGGTTCTGAAACCAAAACCATTTAAATGTTCGTCAGCTTTAATAAAGCAAAGTGCTTGCACAGCAAATGGATATATTTTTAAGTGCCCACATATTTATTTTTGGGCATTTTCACAACACCCTCCTCAACCGGAACCAAAGAAAAACACCTCATGCATAAGTATTTGATTTTATATTTATAACATTTGTTGGAGGTGATGGTGCAAATAATTAAACACAAATAGAACGCGATAACAAACACAATTACAAAACACAAATTCCCGCAAAAAGTGAAATAATAAACCGCCTAAAAAGCGGCAGCGAGAAAAGAGGCAGTCGAGCGAGTGTGCGAATTTCCATGTTAATTATTTAAGACCGGGAAAAGCACCCCATCCCACCCACATTTCCTCCTCCCCCAGCTGTCGGCATATTTGTTCGCGTTCGTTGAACGTATTTTCAATTAACAGAAAACACTCGGATGGCACGGGACCGCCTCCCAGCCGGCGCACAACTTTGATTTGTTTAATTAAATTACACTCAGACAAAGGCTTTCAATCATTCACAGCTCTCCAATCACTCATTGGCTCAATCACGCGCTCAACTTCAACGGAAGTCAATATGCAGCTGCGTGAACGAGTGTGTGCCAGTGGTTGTGATTTAGAAACAACACGACCTACAGTCCACACCCATTTTACCACCCAGTGGCAGTGATGTCCCAAACGAGTACTCCTAGTAAAAATAGTTTTCTGTTCAAAATAATTAAGTAGAAAGTCGGTATTCCAAATTCATAAAAATAACAGCTAGGAATATGGTAAGGCACTATAAACGAGGCGGAAACTATTTAAAAACTAACAAAAATAGATTTAACAATACAAATAACAAGTTTGGAGTGTTTTTAAGGTGAGATTTTAAATTTTAAGGATACGATTTCAAGGTTTTAACCCTACTTTAAATTTAACAAACGCACGAGAAAACGGCTCTAAGAGTCCCAGCCTAGAGAAAATTTACAAAACTTCAGATATAAAAAACTTTTTCGAATTCAGAAATGATTTTTATTCTTTATCCATTTTAAATTAGTTATACCGAAGTCAATAAAACCAGATGCCCTACAAGAAAGCCCATATTTAATGCTTTTTAAGTTCAAACTTTCGAGTTGAAAATCAGTAAGTTCATTAAAAACCTTATGCCTTATGACCGAAAATGGTTTTAAATGTATAATGTTTCTTCGGTGGACAATCGTAGAATGGAAAGTAGTACCCTTGGCATCACTGCCACCCGCCTTCACCCACTAACCCCACTTCTGGATATTTGTAGTGTGCTCCACTACAACTTATCCAAATGCAGTGCAAACCGTTCGCTCAAGTTTGTGTATTCGCTGTTCGCACGGCTCAAGAGAGCTGCCATGGAAGTTGGATTGAATCGTTAATTAATGCATGATAAACTGGAGAGGTAAGCACATGGAATGCGAGCCTGATGTGTGTTGTGTTGTGTTCTGCCAAATGAAAAATAAGGAAAAAATAGAACAAGACGGGGAAAGCCGAACAAAGAGTATGCAAATTTATACACGCCTTCATTTAGGCATTTTGCTTGATTTTTTATTATTTGCCTAGGAAAAACCGCTTTTCGCATTTTGTTTGCTGATACCAACAGTTTGATTTGAGCCTGCAATAAATTTAAGAAATTGGAAAATCATTTCAATCAGCGCAAGTGTATTTATTGGAAATACCTATAATCATTAAAAATAAATAGTCGAAGGTCTTTAAGTCCTCCCAAGTGCTGTTATGAATGCAATTACAATGTCTAACAACCCCAATTATGCAGAATTTTATTTTATAAGTATAGTTCTGCTCAGCCACTTTCAATACTTAACTTAAATTTCTTCTTTGGAAAAGTTTGCAAGCTCATGACTGTAGATTTAAAACCAAGCTTCCTTGAAACAATTTAGAAAAAAAGAGACGTTCAAAAGAGCTAAGACGAAATGCATCGTGACCTTGTGGAAAATGTGCGAATAATAAATAGTTTTCCCCAGTCCGCATGCCACTTGCATATGCTGAGAAAATTCCGCTACGGGTAGTTATTGGCGAATAGTTTTGTAAACACTAAAACCATTTTTCAAATGTCAAAAAAATGTTGACGTTTAAAAACTACTTTGGAACTTACCGAGCATATTTAAGATTATACATGCATATGTTAAAATGGAACATCTTTAGCATGCATTTTTAATAAAAACCTTGAAAATAATAAAAACTTTTCAATAAAGGATTTAACTTTTGATGAAATTTAACTATTCAGCCATTTAGGTTCGCTCTTGACGACAGTCTTTCATATTTTTCCTGTTGAATAACCCACATTTTTCAGAAACTAACTAACTGTTGACTAAACAACGACGAAAAAAACTAAACAAAACAAAAACTATTCACAGCTTATCGGCAAACAATAGACCATTGAATAAATATCAAAAGCAAATAGCCATAAATATTTTTCCCTTACCCCATTTCTGCCCGCTTTTGCAGGCAATTTTTTTTTATTAGATTTTCACTGCTTTTCACATGGCGGGAAAATATTTTGAACCGTTCGCAGCGGCAGAATGAAGAGCTGAAAAAAGGGAATCATTTATGCCGCTTTAAAAGCCGCAATCCGCAGGCCAGAAAGCCGGGGTTCCTGGTCCATGGTCCATGTTACCGCGGAATTGTCAGGCGGCACAAAAATGGCAATGTGATACATAACGCAATAATGGTAACGTGTAGACTTTTACGACAGATAGAAAACGCGAAAGGCGCGAACTTTACGATGCCCGCATCATTTGATTTTATTGCCAAGTGTTGCAAAGGGAAAAAGGAAAAACAAATAACAGGAGCAGACAGATCCGTTCCACCCGAGAAGGGATGGGTTGAAGGGTCGTCCTTGAGCCAGTTGTTTCTGATTAATGCCATCCGACTTGAAGGATGCAGATGCAGCGGAGCACGGCACAAAATGCAAATCACCCGGCGGAATAATCAAATCGAGAACGAAACTGAGCAAAACGGCATCAAAGTTGACGGCGAACGGAAGCTGCTCCACAAAGGCAACAAACAACACACAATTGCACAGCCCAAGGGCAAAGGACGAACAAGGCGCAAGTGTTCACCTGGGCTTTCCCACGCCCTTTGGAAGACCCCCACCCATCACCATCCCATCGATATGCAAGGGTTGCAAGGCCAGCAAAATCAATTAATTTAAAAAATATCCATGCATTTGTTGACATTTTTGCAGTTAGGCTACCTGGCAGCCCGTAGGAATCAACAAATATTTGCATAACCTGTTCGCCTGTCCTCCGCCTTGTTTTGCTGCTGTGACATTCCGCATTTATTGACATTTTCTATTTACCAGGCTCAGACTGTCTCTACCGTTTTGACAGTTTATTTCATAGGATATCTGTGCCGTTGAACGCCGGATGGGAATTTGCTGAATTGTTGCATGTTTGCTGGCATGCGAGACATTGGCATGTGGCAAGGATTGTTTGAAATATATTGGAATCCCATCTGAAAAGTGCCCTGACTCGAACGGATGTCGGGTTCGGTATAAGGATAAGCGCAGTTGATTGAAGCTAACCACGTTAAGCAGAAAAGAGGTAGTGTGTGAACCATAAATCCGTGTTGCACTGCTAGTAGTAACTCAAAATTGGATCTGCATATAATGCAATTGGTAGACTAATAAAATCGTTTCTAAAAGCAAACTTCCTCTTGCAATTAACAGTTTCGCTTTCGCTAAACTAAAAATAAATAAGTCTGAAATTTGTTTCATTTTTTATTAAACGTTTGTTTTAGATTAAGAACTCTTCATTGCACTGCAAAATAAAATAAATTTTAAATAATTTTAATTTTTCAAGGTATTTTAGAAACTATATTAAGTTTTAAGAAACTAAGTATTATTCCTTTAAAGAAATTAAATTCTACAAAATTCTAAGGAATTATGGTTTTTTCGTAGCTTTAAATACAACTCAGTACTCAGCGAAATGTTTTGTGACTAGTCATTATCAAAAGCGGATTAGAATTATTTAATTCGACTGCTCTACGACTTCTGATAAAAAGCCCCGAATGTGAGTCAATCAGAGTTTCGTCACCGAATAAACATGCTGAATAAGATTAATGAGGACTACCACATAATGCTTATTGCTTCAATCCTCTCACTTGAAATTATTAAAGACATGGTTTTCTTAGTATATTTTAATGATTTTAATGAATGTGATTCGTTTCGTTAATTTTATCATATAATCCGTACAATAAACATAATACATAATAGTTATCTCTCCTGCACTAAATACAAAGTTATACATGGTGTTGGATATTGAATATTTATATGGTATATATATATTTTTCGACGCATTTTTCCTTTCTCCACAAAAATATATTGTTTAGGTGCACAAATAGGTTGGCCAAAAAAAGGAAATTATAAAAAATCAAAAACGAAAAACGTGAGGGTACACTTTTTAAATTAATTTGGCTTCTCTCATTATTTTTAAGGACAGTCGAAATTTTTGGTTCACTGACAATTGCTTTTTGCGGCCCTCACAGAATATACATAGAGATTTGACAACTTTCGTTCACCGAAAAGCTATCCGAAGCTAAAATACTTGTTTGCATCCCTTTGACAGACTGCAAACAAAGTTCGGATTGGGCAAAGTAAAGCAAGCCAAGTGAAGGGCTTCCCTTTATTTCAGCGGTCTTACCGCTGCTGCTGGTAGATAGGAATGTTGTTCTTGACAGCATCGTTCTGCATGTGATAGCCGGGCGCCCCAACTGGCGGACCGCCAGCCATGGACATGGCGGCCATCTGCTGGTGCAGCTGACTGAACTGATCGTGTGGTGGGTGCTGCTGCTGCTGTGGCGCCTGCTGTTGCTGCTGCTGATGCGGTGACATGTAGCTCTGTGGGTTGACGGCTGGCGATCCGTTCGGGGCATACAGATTTGGTCCTGGCTGGTAGCCCTGTGGAGGCGGCGGCTGCTGATGCTGCGGCGACATGTAGGCGTGGGGAGCCGGGGGCTGCTGCGTCTGTTGGATTTGTGTGACTGCGGGCGGAACTTGGGCGTACTGCGACTGGGGGTCGATGTGGTAGCTGTTCTGGGGATGCTGTGGTGGCTGCTGAGGGTGCTGCGGTAGCGGCTGCTGTTGCTGGGTGGTCACAGGAGTGGGCTGAGTGTAGATTGGCTGCGGCAAAGGAGCAGCACCAGCTGGCTGAGTCAAATGGGCTGGCAGCGCTGAAAAAGTGAATAAAAGGTAATTAATATATTACTATATTTTATACAACAATTTTCCCAATATACTCACAATTCATCTGTGCGCCATGTCCGTTTTGATAGGGCAGTGGCACCTGTCCTTGCGGCTGTCCCAGATAGCCACCGGGAGCTCCAGGAGCCTGCGATGGAGCACCAGCGGGAGGATTTGGTACGGGGCCATAGGGCAGCGAGTGCATGCCCGGGTAGTTCTGGGCCGGAGGGAATCCACCTGCTGCTGGGTAGCCGGGAGCGCCGTACAGAGCGGCACCCGGAAAGCCAGCCAGTCCGGGCATAAAGCCGCCAGCAGCGGCAGCAAATTGTCCAGCAGCAGCCCGGTCGTCCCGCATCAGGGTATGGTACAGATTGATGGCATCCACAAGGTCGCTGGACAGTTGCGTCAGCTGGGCGTGCTTGCGGTCCACGCGCTCCAGCTCGGCGTCGATCATCGGACCCATCTGATGGACCTCCTGCTCCAGCTGCAGCATCTCGTCGCTGTCCTGCGACGGATCCTCGGGATTGGCCTCGTGCAGCAGATGCAGCAGCCGATCAATCTTCGACTCGTCGATCTCAACGGGCTGCGCAGCTGCGGCAGCGGCGGCCGCTTCAGTCTTTTGCTGCAGGGCCGCGGCGGAATCCAACTCTCGTTGGCCGGCGGCGGCGGCCGACTTGTGCTGCTGATTGATGTCCAGGCGCTCGGGATCGACGGACAGATCGGCAGTGACAAAGTTCGAGGGGAAGAGGCCCTCGCCGCGCTGGTTATAGCCCTTCCACCAGTTGGGATCGCTGTCGTCCAGCACGTGAATGATCTCGCCCGCGACGAAGGTCAGTTCGTTCTCCTCCGCCGCCTCGAAGTCGTACAGGGCTCGAACCTTTCTGGGCTCCGGGGCAGGAGTGGCAATCGCTTCGCTGCTCGGGGCGCCGGAGGTGGCTCCGCCGAACGAGGGATACAGCGAGGGATAGGCACTGGCGGTGCCGGCTCCACTGGCCCCACTTCCGGTCTTCGGACTGCCCTTGTTCTCCTTCAGCGACAGCTCGATGGCCTTGGCGATGTCGTCCTCCTCCTGCTGGCTGCTGACCACGTTGGGATCCTTGGGCAGGGCGGCCGCCTTCTCGGCGACCGTCTTGCTGGCCTTATCGCCCAGATTCTTGAAGTCGTAGCCCTCTACGCGCAGCTTGGTGTAGAGAGCGGGTATCAGGTCCAACTCCCGATCGTTCTTGTAGTCATTTTCAGCCCAGTTCTTCAGCACTTGGCGCATTTTCTGCGGGTCGTAGAAGGAGTCATTAGTATGAGGAACAACTGGATGGGCATTCCCTCCACTTACCAGCGAAACCTTGGGCTGTGCCTTGCCCAGCAGCCGGCGAAACTCGGTCTCGAAGTCCCTGGAAGCCACCTCCAAGTGGAGGGGCTTCCCGCAGTTGTTGGACAAGGCATCCAGCAGCGTGATCGCCTGCATCACCACGTGGGGATCGGTGTGGCCCATGCGGCGCATCACCGCCTTCAGGCAGTCCTTGGCCAGGCGAGGGTTGGTCGAAACCTTGTCGCAGACGTCCAGGATCAGGGACCAGTTGTCGTTGGTGTTCGTCTCGCTGGTGGCCTTTTCTATTGGATCGGAAACAAAAGAGCCGAATTAGCTTATCAGCGCTGGACTAGAAATCCTGTTGTGAGTCACGGCAAACGAAGATAAGGCAGTTCGAAAACTGATTGTAATAATAAAGGAAAATCAATACAACTTGGGAACTTGGTAAATTGCATTAAGGGAGGGGGCGGTGGGGGTGGTTTGAGTGCTACGTCACTCAAGGTCAGCGACTGCCAGGCGAAAACTCCAATAAGAAGTTCAACGAACGACGCAGAGCTGCGCACAGCATCTCACATGACTTTCTTTGTTGTCTGGCTAATTGGAAAGGGGGTTAATTTGGAAAAGGGGTAGTGCGTAGGGGTGGCAGTCCGCTGATAAAAGTAGAAAACTATGAAATGCAGCGGGCAGTGGTGCAGTCCAATTGGAACTGCGCCTCCTCCAATCAGCTAGCCAGCCCACCCGGTTATCGATAGACTCACCCACGTCGGCGTCGAATGGCGACGACTGCCCAAAGATTCCCATCTTTATGACCAAACGCTCTGCTCGCTCAGCTATCTGCCAACAATCTGCGCTGCCCCGGGGTCAATAGAATCCAAATCAGCCAATCTTTGTCTGGTTTCCCTTTTGTTTTTCCCCAGCAATCGATTTTCGGTGCGTCACGGCGTTTAAAAGACTTCTTTCCAGCTGTTTTCCTCTAAGGTATCTTCTTGCGCTCTTCCTTGATAGCCTGCGACCTGCTCAACTCTCTGCGATATTGCTTAAAACCGACAATTAGCGCTTGCAAATTCGCTTAATTTAAGTTTATTGTGTAAAAAAGTGACTAATGGCGAGTGTGACCAGTTGGCCGGTAGACGCGAAACGCAAAGTATCGATACCTTGGTTAGGGGCATTCGTGACTTACCAATCCATTAATTAAATTTTATTGGGAAATATTTAAATAATTAAGCGGCATTAGTGACAGATAATCCGAAGTTTTCAAACAAAAATTACTTCGATGTTCGATATTTCACTTATTTAAAATAAACAGTAAAATATATATTTTTAGAAAATTTGACTTTTAACAGATTTAGGAAAACTACAAATAAATTGTAAGGGCTAGTACTCAACCCAACAAAAAGTCGTTCGAAACAAATAACTTCATATGAAACAAAATTTTTAGACGTTTTTTTTCGTATTTTTTGTTTTTGACTATTTTTTACTAGTCCTAAACTGTAAAACAATTTAGTGACTTAACAGTACGCACTGTCACTTTCCGTTCCTGTGAAAAGTCACATAGTTTGTCGTTCGTAGCATGCGGCCACACTAATCTCAGCATTCGAAAAAAACGCGCAAATAGAGGGGACGCCAAAGGAAAATACGATTTAAAGGAAACATTTGACTTGATTTCATCGCATTTAGAGTGATTCGCCGGCGCCATGACGCTCTCCCGCACGAAGCACGCCAACCGCAACCACCTGCCGCACCTGCTGACCAAGGTGCCCGAGGAGCACCAGGAGCCGATTAAGAATATGTGCCTCAAGATGATGTCCCACGACGCCTACGGGCAGCCGTATGTAGATCCCACCAAATCCCCGGAAGCCCACTAACTTTGGATCCCCTAGGTACGACTGGAGCTCCCGCGACTTCGAAATGGGCGCCCACTTGGGCCGCGGGAAGTTCGGACGCGTCTACCTGGCGCGGGAACGGCACTCGCACTACCTGGTGGCCATGAAGGTGATGTTCAAGGAGGAGCTGCGCAAGGGCTGTGTGCAGCGCCAGGTTCTTCGCGAGATCGAGATCCAGTCGCGGCTGAAGCACCCGCACATCCTGCGCCTGCTCACCTGGTTCCACGACGAGAGCCGCATCTACCTGGCCCTGGAGATCGCCTCCGAGGGCGAGCTGTTCAAGCACCTGCGCGGAGCACCTAATCACCGGTTCGACGAGCCACGGGCGGCCAAGTACACCTACCAGGTGGCCAATGCCCTCAACTACTGCCACCTGAACAACGTGATCCATCGCGATCTGAAGCCGGAGAACATCCTGCTGACCAGCACCGACGATCTGAAGCTGGCCGACTTCGGTTGGTCGGCGCACACGCCCAACAACAAGCGAAGGACGCTGTGCGGCACACTGGACTACCTGCCGCCGGAGATGGTGGACGGCAACTCCTACGACGACTCCGTGGACCAGTGGTGTCTGGGCATCTTGTGCTACGAGTTCGTCGTCGGCTGCCCGCCCTTCGAGTCGAACAGCACGGAGAGCACCTACAGCAAGATCAGGCGCATGGAGATCTCCTATCCGCCGCACTTGTCGAAGGGCTGCAAGGAGTTAATTGGCGGGGTAAGGCTATTGGCAAGCGTCTTATGTGTTATTTGATATTCTAACATCGTTTTACTCCTTGCAGCTTCTGCGCAAGGAGAGCAAGGGCCGAATCACCTTGGTGGAGGTGATGACGCACTTTTGGGTCAAGGAGGGAATGGCCGAGAGGGAGCTGCAGCTCCTCAAGCGGGAGCGCGGCAAGGAGAACACGGCAAGGAATTAAATGGATTCAGCTTCGCATTTTACATCGACTTATTTACAATTTGATTATGTTCAATAAACGGTTAAGGATATTAAGCAAAGATATTTAATTTGGGTGTTATTTTCAAAAATTCGTAGGAAAAAGTATCCGATGGATATCTTTAATTAAAAATTGTAGGTCTGAAAGACAATTTTCTTTTAAGTACCACCTTTAGCAATATTTAACCAAAATATAAGTATCGTCATTGCAGAAACGGTTCCAAAATCATCTTCACGTTTTAAGACCAACCAAAAAGTAGACTTGGAATAAAATGTTCCTTAAAAATAAATCAAATTTATTAGGAAACAGTATAAACTATATTATCTTTTACAATAACGGAAAGGCTGATCCTCAAACGAACCTTCGTAGATTTTTCCACCCCTGAATAGAAAATACAAATTACATGTATTTTCAAAATCATACAAATTGTATAATTTTTTATTTTTTAACAAAACACTTATAGATATATTTTGGTCAACTATCTCATAAAAATTTAAATAAAAACTTCGAGGATGCTGAAAACTACCTAATTATTATTTTAAATTCTTCTTAACTATCTCATACTTTTAGACGGTAACTAACAAACTTAACTAACCAATAGATTTTAAGGTTTCTATTGCTGAACTTTTGTGTATAATTTTCAACGATTCAGAGTCAGTTTAGAGAACACCAAAACAAGTAATTTATTTTCAGATAAAATAACAATCTGTGTATACCAACCCCCTCAAAATTTATTTTTCTACGCTCATGAGTGATAGGTATTTCCAGTTCTTAGGCAGTGCAATATTATCGCGCTTCCCGTGAACGGTCACCCTAAATAAATAAATGACAAATTCAAGCGTAAAATAAACCCTAAAAAGTCAATGAATCGCTCGATTTGTGAATTGTGCGCCCAGCAGTGAGTGGGCAAAGTGCGGCAGCCGACGAGACCGCCCCCAGGAGCCCCGAGTACCGCCCAGGAGCGGATCGAGGGTCGCCAGAGGAGCCGCGGAAGTACAGCAACAATTGTTATTTTTCGCCCGTCGATTTTCAGGGGGAGGGGGCTACGGACATCAGCCCCTTCGGTTTCTAATTGAATTAAAAGAAAAGGGGGAGGAGGCAATTACACCCAGGTCAGTCCAATAAAAGCCAGGCAGCAGAGCAATGGTCTTCATCCGGGATCCCTGTGGCATCGCCTGCCTGGTGGTCACATACGGGGCAGTTCTCTACGCGGACTATGTGGTCATCCGCTGGATCATCCTGACTACGATGCCGGGCAGGTGAGTAATATATCCGATGAGGAGCTGTTTAACAAAGACCATCCATTTCCGACAGCCTCTGGATGTCCTTCCATGTGGTGCTCTTCAACACCGTCGTCTTCCTGCTGGCCATGTCGCATTCCAAGGCCGTGTTCTCCGATCCCGGCACCGTGCCCCTGCCCGCCAACCGACTGGACTTCTCCGACCTGCACACCACCAACAAGAACAATCCCCCGCCCGGAAACGGCCACAGCAGCGAGTGGACCGTGTGCACCCGCTGTGAGACCTACAGGCCGCCGAGGGCCCACCATTGCCGCATCTGCAAGCGGTGCATCCGGCGCATGGACCACCACTGCCCCTGGATCAACAACTGCGTGGGCGAGCGCAACCAGAAGTACTTCCTGCAGTTCCTCATCTACGTGGCCCTGCTGTCGCTCTACTCCATCGCGCTCATCGTCGGCTCCTGGGTGTGGCCCTGCGAGGAGTGCAGCCAGAACGTGATCGAGACCCAGATACGAATGTAAGTTTGCGAGGCCGCAACTGTAGAAGAACCTGTGGCCCTATTTGGGGTGTGCTGTTCTGAATGCTAAGCGGGATTCCGAGTGCAATGGAAGATACTGCATATAAACTATGGAAACTGTAGTGGCATTTTTACAAATTGTCAAACCATCGCAACTCCGCCATAATAATAATAAGTAATAGATAGATATTAGATAACATTTAAAGTATTAGTGTAGGGTTTTTATCAGATAGCACTGAAAACACACCCTAAGCCATAAAAATGGAAAAATTGATTATACTATAAGGTCATATGCACTAATTACAACTTAATTACTTTCCCTTGGGAAAAGGTCTCAATGGTAATTCGGCGTAGACAAGGAAGTACAATCGGAATACGCATAAATTAGTTTAGCAGGATAGAATTTAAACTTTTTCTCTTTCAATACTTAATAATCCAATTTCCCTTTCAGGATTCACTCGGTTATCCTTATGCTGGTGTCGGCGCTCTTCGGCCTGTTCGTTACGGCCATCATGGTGGACCAGCTGCACGCGATCCTGTACGACGAGACGGCCGTGGAGGCGATACAGCAGAAGGGCACCTACCGGCCCAATCGGCGCAAGTACCAGCTGCTGGCCGATGTCTTCGGCCGCGGACATCCGGCGCTGTGGCTGCTGCCCTGCACCAGTCTGAACCACTCCTCCCGCTACCACGATACGCCTCTTCTGAGCCACGAGGTCTAGGGCCAGGAAATATTCCTTATATTTTGTCCTTGTGTTTATTGTGCGAGCAAAAGGTCGCGGGAATGTTTTTAGTTTTTAGTTATTGTGTGATTTCTTTTAATCAGCCTCCCCCACCCGCAGCCAGTCAAATCGATTCGTATTTCGTATTGTGTATTATATGCTGATTCCAACTTAATTTATGCTTTAGTTTATAATGGTTTGAAATTATAAATATAAAGAAAGCAGCGTCGAGGAGAGGAGGAGCATACTCAAAATGAACACGGATATTTTATAAGGAACTTTTTGCAACTGCTTGTTTAAAATATGCATGCGTAGATCATTTGTACACCGATATAAAACTTCGGCCACCCGGGGTGTTTTTTACCAGTATCGAACTAAGCAGCACATTCTGATTTGAGAAGTAGAAAAATCTCAATTGTATACAATACTACATAGCCATGTACCGAGCTAGGGTATAAGTCCTTATAAAAGCATTTACTATAGACCCGAAGACACCTAGACGCATATACCAAAAATGAAAGAGGAGATCAAAACTCATATAAAATACTGTGCAGCAATAGTTCGTAGTAATTGTAATCACCTTTTAGTTGTAGTTTATTGTTCTTTTGACATTTACGACCATCAACCAGCACGAACAAGATTTTGAATGTAACACCGTCGACCACAGTTGTGTCCCTTGAACAGTTCCCAATAAAGCTATCCGATATGCATAAGAAATCAATCGAGTTCGCTTCCCAGTCCCTCCACGCTCAGCGTTAGCTGTTTCAGCGCCTGCTTGGCCACTACGCAGAGCACTCCCTCCTGGGAGCTCTTGTCCTCGAACTCCAGGATCTCCACGCACTCCTTCAGGAGATCTATGGCATCCACGAGGCGGCCACGCAATTCCCCGCCGTTCACCTTGCCGGCTATGAATCCGCTCTTGGCCAGGAGCACCAGCGGAACGTGCAGCTCGTAGAGATTCATTGCCCGCGTTCGACTGAGACCTGGTTCGAAGGTGTTCAGCACCCGCAGCACCTGGCGACAGAGCTCCGCCTTGCGCTCCAGCTGGTGATCCGGCAGCTGGACCATCTCGTAGCCCTGCACCCGTCCGTACATCTCGATGAGCAGCTGCCTCAGTCCCGTGGCGATGAAGTGCAGCGGGTGCAGCAGGGATTTGTACTTGCGCAGCAGTCGTTCGACCTCCTCCAGTCGCTTGGCTCCCATTTCCAGGGCTTGCACTGAGTTTACCTCGGATTGCAGGGATTGCAGCATCGCCAGAGCCTCCGAATTGTTGGTGGTGGATCCACAGCTGCCGCAGATCCAACTGGTGTCCGTTTCTGCAAAGTTAAGTGTATACTAATGGGGCTAAATGACTTTCTTCGAAAGCGCTTGTGCTCACCAGTCGGCTGCCTGGGCACTTGGTATCCCTCTGCGCACTGACCACACTTTAAACTGGAGAAGTGCGTCCCCAGCTCGGTGGGATCCAGACACCGATCGCACCTGCAGCTGAAGAACTTGCCCTGCTGCAGGTGCTTCTGTCTCTGGGCGGTGCCGTCCAGGGTATACGTATAGCTGTGATGCAGTGGCTGACCCTCCTCCAAGTCCACCATGGCTCGCAGGCGGATTCTGTAAATTATAACGCACTCATAAGAATTATGGATAAATAATTTTAAAGGTTGCGATTCGTATGCATAGATACAATTATTTATAGGATTTATACCATTTCCGTTTAAAAACGTAAAGAAAAGTGCAAGAATAAAGCGATATGTTTTTGTTTGTGTAACAAATATCACAGGTACACAGCCAAAATTTTCCACGAACCATTTCAAGTTTTCCATGATATTTGGGTGCTCCTGAGTAAAAGTCCCATACAAAATTATTTTCCATCACCTACAGGTTCCGCGGTATAGCTAAGAATACAAAAAACCGATGTTTGCCGACATTTTGAATTACGTGGCCTATATAATTGGACCAACCTTTATTATTTTCGGTAGGACCTACTCTCAATACATCAAGGCATTCCTAAAAAATAGTCCCCATTGTGAACCATTGCCCGTGTCTTTGGAATTCGACGCCAAAGTTGAAAATCCCAAAATTGTAGAGATTTTTCTGATGGAAAAACAATTCTGAGGATTAAATCTTGAATGAAAGTAATTTTAACTATTCATTGTATCTATTGTTCATTGTATGCTTTAATTTCGGTTTACAGCGTTTTCATGAGAACATTTTATTGGATTTCTTATACTAATAAAACCGATTTTTTTATTTCATTATCTACTCCTAAATGTTATCAAATTTTGAATAAGTCATGGCAACCTCTAAAACTAAGAAACTAAAATACGTTCACTGAACATACACAGAGAAATATAAATGTTTACTCCCATTCTGTAGGATGCCTTGACTTTTTTAAAATTTGACAACATTTAGGAGTAGATAATGAAATAAAAAAAACGGTTTTATTAGTATAAGAAATCCAATAAAATGTTCTCATGAAAACGCTTTAAACCGAAATTAAAGCATACAATGAACAATAGATACAATGAATAGTTAAAATTACTTCCATTCAAGATTTAATCCTCAGAATTGTTTTTCCATCAGAAAAATCTCTACAATTTTGGGATTTTCAACTTTGGCGTCGAATTCCAAAGACATGGGCAATGGTTCACAATGGGGACTATTTTTTAGGAATGCCTTGATGTATTGAGAGTAGGTCCTACCGAAAATAATAAAGGTTGGTCCAATTATATAGGCCACGTAATTCAAAATGTCGGCAAACATCGGTTTTTTGTATTCTTAGCTATACCGCGGAACCTGTAGGTGATGGAAAATAATTTTGTATGGGACTTTTACTCAGGAGCACCCAAATATCATGGAAAACTTGAAATGGTTCGTGGAAATTTCACAAAGTTTAATTTTGTGTTCCTGTGTATTTAAATGAATGTTATAAAAAAAATATTTGTATTTTTTAAACATTTCTGAATTTCGAATAAGGTGGAAAAAAAAATTATATCTTTGTATACCCGTTACTCGTAGAGTAAAAGGGTATATTGTATTCGTGATCAGGGTCACTTGTATTCGTGCAAAAGTATGTAACAGCTAGAAAGAAGCACTTCCGACCCTATATTCTTGATCAGGGTCACTAGCCGAGTCGATGTAGCCATGTCCGTCTGTCCGTCTGTCTGTCCGTATGAACGCTGAGATCTCGGAAACTATAAAAGCTAGAAGATTCAGCGCAAGTTTGTTTCAAAAGGGTGCCACGCCCCCTCTAACGCCCACAATCGCTTATATACGATTTTAAAAATTTCAATATTTCGAGAAAGTAAAAATGCAGTTTTATGGTGTTTATCAATACCTATCGAAATGTAGAAGAAATTTTTTAAATCGGACCATTCGTTAAAAAGTTACGGCGGATCTAAGTTTTTATCTCCATCTCCTTCGCACTTCCTTTAACTGATTAACGGGTATCTGATAGTCGGGGCACCCGACTATAGCGTTCTCTCTTGTTTACATTACATTACATTCTCTTCTTCTCTGAGATAAAGCTTTTCTCTAACATTTCAAAATTTCGAATTAAATTTAACAATATTAGCCTAATTAATTTAATTTGGACGTCAATATTACATAGCTGCAATAGGAAGGATCAAAAAAATAATGCCAAAATAATACGAAAGCAGCTAAAATGTTGATTCTTTTAGCATATAAGCAAGTAAATCTAAATTTATTGGTTTTTTAAGATAATAGGAATGATCTGCAAGGGTATATAAGCTTCCTTTCTTGTTTTAAAAAGGTATATTAAAGCTAGGTATGGCCTGAAAGTTCTATTGATGCTTATAAAAAACTAACTAACTTACTTGGCACCCCAGAAATCTGATCTTTTTGGTAAATAATATTTTTGTGATCTCTAGAGACACTTTTGACGACCCACCCATGTTATATTTTATCTTTTTCTAAGGCCGAAAAGTAATTCTACACCTTTTGTATTTAGAGCGAATACAGAACTTCGAAAGTGGTTTCTCCTGTATGGCCTAAAAGCTTAATTTATTTTAAGATCTTAGTATACTCACTTGTAGCCCTCGCTGGGATAGATACTCCTGGATGTGTTCGGCATGCAATTGTGGGCCAGAATGCCGGTGTATGGGAAGAGGCACCTCAAGGGATAACCCCTCGAGCTTCTCGCCTCAAAGGCGTTAACCTCCAGCACACCCACCACCTGCATGATCAGCTCCTCACTGAACCGGGAGGCCAGTTTGCAGGGACCCCGCAAATACTGAGCAATGTTAACGCGATCCGCATGCCACACATCAGCGTCCTTTTTCCGCTCCTCCTCGTGGTGCTCCATCGGGGCCACCTCGCTGTCCCATCGCCCGGGATTGGCCTCCTTCGCCAGCAGTACCCTGAAAGTCAGAAATTCAAAAAGTTAGCAAAGTGATTTACTAAGTTTCCACGTACCAAATCTTAATGATATTAGTAGCAACATTTACTTAGAAAAAATAAAATTAAAATAAATCTTAAGTGTTTTATGACTTTATCTCATTCAAAATTAATCTTTCGACACCCCCTATGTGCCAAAAGAAATGCGAATAGTGGTCGTATCAGTTTGTTTTGCGGCTGGTTCTATTTTTGTTCCTCCCGCTGGGCTTCACCTGAGCGGCATGATACAATCCAATTGCGGACAGTGGTTGCTTCCGCTGGGAGGAGGGAAGAATCTTGCCCGAGACTCGCTCAGCTCCCGGCACTCCAGCTGGAAATGAACGCCATCCTGATTCCCCGAGCAATCCTCGCACAACGGCCACCCGCACTCGCTGCACTGCTCCTCCTCCGGCTCCAGACCGGGTTCGTAGCACCCTAGGCACACCACCGGTCCATTGCACTTGGGTCCCACGGCGAAGGGCAGTTCCTCGATGAGCAGGCCGTGGCCAAGAGTCGCCTCCTTGGCCACCAGATAGCGTCCGCAGACCGGACTCCATTGGACCGACGTCCGATTCACCGACAGCGTTGGCGTCGCTGTCATTTCGCTGACTGACACCGGTTGGCCGAACTCAGATCATGGGCAGACCTCACAAATAATGCCATCCACTACATCCCACTACATAGCAACATTTTGGCCTCATCATATTTGCGCGGTACAGTGGTACCACACG